GACCATTGCTATTAGGTTGGAGGCCCTTGCAGTTAGGTTGGAGGCCATTGCTATTAAGTTGGATGCTATTAGGTTGGAGGCCATCGGTGTTAGGTTGAAGGCCATTGCTATTAGGTTGGAGGCTATTGCTATTAGGTTGGAGGCTATCGCTATTTGCTTCCTTTTGCTATTGGGTTTGAGGTCATTGCTACTACCTTGTTTTTGTGCTCTTTCCAAAGGGAGAAGGGCGGAGAAGCTGAACTCATCTCTCCGAGCAACTTGTGTGCATGAGGTTGTTGTCGGAAGCCATTCGGCCACCTGGCAGCTGGTTTTGCTTGGGATTGGAGGGAACAAAGTGTGTGTTGTCATATTTTCTTTGAGAATGTGGAGTCAGGCCTAGGGCCTAGTGGTAAAACACAAATGCCTTGACCACAATACACACGTGAAACGGATTTCGTAGACCTGGGATGCAGACTCGAGTGGTGCATGTCATTTTGGCTGTTTATAAATTCCACTCTGATCATGATTTTGTCTTCCAAACATCTCCACTGAGTCTTGGAAGTTGACGACTGAGGTCTTGGGAAACTGGTCAATTGAAAAGGCAGTGCCTCTACGTCATTCTGACATGATTTTGCTGGATTGAAGGAGACAAACGCCTTGGAGTGTGAAATGAGTAGAATACTTCCAGCGATATTGAACAACATGAGCTTATTAACCAAAACGCTGATTTGAACAAGATCGTTTCTTTCAGGTCTTGAATCCTGAATGTTTTGTCGATTTGAAACATACTGAGAGGTACATTGGCCTTTTGGGTGCTGGCAGGTACCAGCAATTCCACTTTCCCTCTTTGGACTTTGCACGAACCTCTGCTCCTGGAGGTGGAGGGCAAGGGTCCAAGGGTAAAAGCAGGCAGATACTCCGACCAAGTTGCTTCATCCTTGTCGGTGAGGGATATGGGGAGTGACCGGTGGACCGTTTTTTTTTTTCGTGGATGTGTAGATGCACAACGTGTCTTGCAAGTGCAAATGAGCAAACTGGAGCATCGCTGTGAGGAGGATGAGTGCATGCCACTATGGCTGGAATACAAGCACCTTGGCAAGCCTCGACCATTTTGGCTTTTTTCGTCACTAAACATTGCAGAAGTGGTAAGTGCAGATGGACTGAGATTGTTTTGAGACCGTGGCAAGGTATGTCATCCGTGGCAAGTCCGAGTTTCGCTGGGAGGAAGCTGCGCGTTGCGCTTGATCCGCGATCCACGGGGAAACATCGGAAGATCGTCCACGAATCATCCGAAACTACCAGACCTTTAGCTACTTAGTAGCTACTAGTAACAAGGGCATCGCTACTAGGGGCTCCTGGCAACGCTACTAGGGGCTCCTGGCCGTACTACTAGGAACAAGAAGCTACTAGGAACAAGGACGATCCGTCTGTCCTTTGGATATGAAAAAACTATCCTGCATTTATTTCATACCTGATCATACCTGATTTGTGTGTTTGTCACTGGTCTGAGTTCTGGTATGAAAATAAAAACCCTTACCTTCCTTTGCTCTATTTCTCACTCTCAACGGTCTTCGAGTAGACTCGATCAAAGACTCGTCTCTTTCGAGTCGAGTGATCGAAGTCACAGGACTTTGGTCATCGGACTTTGCCTGTCTTCAGCTCCACTTCACCGGCCACAGCCACATCCTTTATGCCGCCCGATGCCCGGATAGAAGTCTCTGGCGGGTTGGTTCTCGTTTGTTGAACTTGGCTTGTGTGACGTGTGCGATGCGGTCAGGGTTTCCCGCAGAAGGCTTGGCGTTCTGGTTGTCCTTTGTGCTGCAGCAACCTGACGATTCAGGGAATGGTCGGAAGTTGGAAAGCCGCTGAATCGTTTGCTGCCTTTTTGCAGGCCAGATGGTTGAACAGGTCATCCTCGACAGATTAGACACCCATACTTGAACAGAAAAGGTGCTATTCTTGTGTAAAAAAAGTGCAAAGCAATCTTTCATATCTTGAAGATGTACATAAACCGGCACAGGAATTCGCAGAATCTGAGTCGCTAGGATACAGTACTGTTCTTGTCTTCGATCAGTTTCTAACATGCTTCGACATCAGGGGCCGCCGGCTGAAGCCGGGCCTGATGCTGCGGGTGGAGCCCTGTCTGCATTTTTCAAGTTTTGCAGGTTTGCAGCTGTCGTAATTCTTGTGATAGGTTGTTCCT